GTTTATTATACAGAATTTCTCTGGCCTTTTGAATTACACCTGAGTTTTCTTAATGAAAAGAAAAGTGGGAGTGAAAAAGTTTCACTTATTGACGACAGGTCAAATAGAGGTCAAAAGTCAGTTTGTATATGTAACAAGCTGATTATACAGTGGCATCTCATGAGAGATATTCGTGCTATTTCAAGTTTGCTTCCCGCATAGTAAATTTTACTTATATTTCTAAAGATATTTGAAACAATTCACTATTTTATTTTTCGTGAAATAATATATTCTAATATTTTTTACGGTCATGTTGGATGTTAAATAGAAGGGGGCATTTAGGCAGATCACGGCTCAATGGGATTTGAAATCCTGCGGTGCCAGTGCACCTCATATCATTTTGTTCGCAGTCTTGACAAACAGTGCTGAAGGAGCTGTTATCTTTTATACTGCAATTAGAACATGATCAACATGAACCAGGACCGGAATCGAAACGAAAAGCTTTCACTGAAGACGCCTCCATGCACAATGGCAACAATTTCCAACAACCCAAATCTTTTTCGTCTTTCATTCCCTTGCCAGTAGCAGTTAACAAACAATTCCTTACCAAGTGCATTGGTCTTTATACGACTAGAAATCCTTTATTCATCCTCAAGGAACAATCCTCTTTGACCAGGTGGCTGCATGGCACTTCCCGTGCAAGGTGCCGCCAATATGTGCATAAAGTATTCTCGCTGCTATACTCACTTTAATCTTTCAGTTATGCTTCGGCAAGCACCTCGGATTGTTTCACGGAAGTACTAGATCTCCTCCTTGGTCAAGCCATGCTTCTGGTCATTTGCGGATGCTTCCGCACTGCCGTGACCAATAGACGCTGACCGTCTGAATATGCTGGAACATGAACATCAAATACTGTCGTACACCGGAGAATGTCAGATCACGCATATTTCCTCGAAGCGTACATTTCCAGGCGAATTGCGTCGCTGTCTTGCATCAGGTTATTTATACTGTGATGCGTTATGCATTTGTTAACGAAAATTTTAAAAGTTCCTTTAAAAAAACCATATCTCTAGCATTGCTTGGACCAAATGGAATTTTAGCGCATTGACGAGAAACAAGGCTCCTGCAACGACATGCAGTTTCAGCACAGAATCAGAGTAATTGCAGCTCTGAAGATTCACGACTCAAGCTGGACCATTCCAAAGACTCATAAGGGCCGAAGTTCGCGTACTGCTTTTTCTATAAAAAGCTTTGAAACGCTCCTCTTTGCTCCTTTTTGTGAAACCGGCTTTTGCACTAACGTGAAAATTGCTAAGGAATTTACTTACCTTTTATGTTTGGACTAAACCTGTGAGGTATCCGAAATTTAGGTGCATGTCAAGAATCGTGGATTTGAATTCCAACAAAAAGAAAATTGCTTAAAAGGTTCTTTAATGACGTGTGCCTCAGCAACTGGGATTCACCAGAAAACCAGCTAGACAGAGAGGTTTCTGAGGCAAAATAGTCTATGGAATGGTAACGCAGGATAGTTGTTGTTAGCATTTCTAACCGCTGGAAAGTAGGTCATCCTTAACCTATAACAACTGGGTAGGTTTCCATGAATTTAATGGCGGAAACGTTATTTTCCGTGTTCATATCATCATTCATGAGTGTCTTATTTTACCGGGCAGAAACAACAGCAGCTATGTGACGGGCATAGTGCATAGTCACTTGCTTCTTTTCCAAACAGCTATGCTAATTTATGAACTTCGAACCGAAGTAAATAAAATGCGAGTGACCTAACTGCGCTCGAATCCCGGACTTCTAAATTCGGAGTCCAACCGACTGCCGAGTCAACAACCTCGGTCATCGTTAGCGTTAAACCGACCAAACGTCACGTGTTTCATTTTACATTTTTATGCAACAAGAAAACTGCTGACCAGTTTCATAGCAGTGTAATGAAAATGACAAATATTGTCTTGATCTATTCACGGAGAAAACAACATGAACTTATGGATTATGACTAGTTGTTACTGTGAATTTTCCTGATATTTTTTTAATGAAATAACCATATTTTTCTAAATTATCTGGATCTTCAGTCCATATTGTCCATGATCAGTGGATTTGTATCCTTTGTTCTACCGGTAGACAGCATAGCGCAAACATTTCATCATGCTAGCTTCAACAATTTACGTGACTGTCAATCATCTTCTTTTGGTTGGTAGTTGGTGTCCTTCGTTTGAGCAGAATTACCTCAAAAGGTACGAGGAATTTCGTAAAAGACACGTACCGGGCCCATAACAAAATCAGCTATGAAATTCATTCAGGATTTTCACAAGGCCGTTCGGTTAGCGAACAACTGTTTGCAAGGATTTGCGGTAACCGGTCGTTTGGCCCCGCTTTTCAACTGACTCAGCACAGGGCAGTTAATGCAGTGTGTTTAAAGTGGTTATAAAAATCTTCGTCCTGTCAAGATGAGTGCCTTTTTTGCTGTCACAGTCGAAACATCTTATTTAGGGCAGCCGTGATCTTTTAATCTGTTTCTTTCAAAGGTCTGAAAGTGGATTTCTGAGACTGGACTTCCTCAGCTACAACCAGGCGATTATACCAACAAGAGGAATGGCATTTTCAACTGATTGTCATCTTGTCATTAACTCATTTGTCCATTAAGTGGGTCAAGGTGAGTAGCAGCTCTGTGAAGCGTTCCAATCAGATCGCATAACCATGCCATAACATCATGCTGACGCTAGTATTAACTCAGCGATTTGCGGCTGGTTACAGAATATTTCATGCCTAAGGGAAATGACGATTAAGGCAATTTTTGACCTTGTCAGGGACTACAATCTGGCACCTTCAGAGTTCTAAGCTAACTTGTTTACCACTGACTATTGCTCCCCAATTTGCAATGACGCAGCACAGAGATGATCGAACAAAGCTAGAACACGCTGCATAATCTTCGATCTATCTT